GGCGCTCTTCTTCACGCAGGCCAATCTATAGCAATATTATTCCTTATTAGGAATAATATAATCTTAATTCTTAAAGCACAATTTGCAAACCAGGGTGAAGGCAATCTGGACTACAGCTTCTAAGATGGAGACCCAAAAACACCGATCAGCTTTCTCAATGAGCTGAAGACACAGAGTAGTATGTTTAGTTACAGTATCGGGCATCTTAGTTCATCTATTCCTTTTAGTTGTCAGTTTTTATTGTGTTTTAGTGTAATGTTCCTTTAAATAATTATTCTTTTTTTGTATTGTATTGAAATGAAATGCACTAAAACATACATTAAAAGTTATATAAATTTAATAAATATATAAATAAAGACCATAAAAGCAAGAATCTCCAGACAAAAAATAGTAGTGTTGGGGAAACTATATATAACATATATTTAAAAATGCAGGCCAACTTTTAGCAATATTGACCTTCTTAGGAAAAATAAAATCTGACAACTCTTAAAGCATCACAGTGTACACACATACACACACACACACACACACACACATACATATACATATACATATATATATATATATATATATATATACACACACAAACTATGACAGACCCTGTAAACGAGGCTAATTTTAAAAAGGTGAAAACTCTTTATTTTGATAATGCCTTACTAATAAATCTTAATCATGAGTTTGGGCACACAAAGTGCTGCATTTGCATCTTTTAATTAAATAAACTGACTGGAAAATGTTTCCCTTTCCTCACTCAGAAGGAATGTTAACTGCTCACAGACTTTACTGACTGTTCAGATTATACTTTGCGCAGTGCTTTTACAAATAGAATTATTTGTCTATTATGTGCAAACAGACATCATTTCTATTTAATATGGTACCATTGCCACTTCAAATGTTACTTTTAACTTTTATTTTAAAAGATAACTAGTGAACGTTTTCTTCGCTTTACTTTAGGTGGGTCTAGGTAACATAAAAAGGTCAGTCTTTTTACAATACTGGTTTTATTCTTACAGAAAAGAAAATTAAATGTTTGAGAGTGCACTGGAATTCAGTGCCAAGGCTTCAGCCCACACTGGTAAACTGTAAGTCCACACTGCCATCTTAAGGCGATCAGCTGAAATCGGTCCTGTTTTTTCTCTACCTCCTTAGCACACTGTGTACAACCTGTATACAGGGTTTATCTAAATTGTATTCAATATTTAGGTAGGTACTGTTGAAATTTCGTCTGCATTGTGTTTTTTTTTTTCAGATAAACCTTCACAGTGTGTTACCTTTCAGTCCACACGGAGGCGACAAAGACTAGTAAGTAGGCATGTGGATCCTCATGCTAGTCAGCTCTGCTGTTATATTTAGTGTGGCCATAGCCTACAGATCAGAAAAAAAATCAAGTCAAGCAGTCAACCAGGCTATTTGGACTCTGCTAGTTAGGTTATGAAGTATGCCAAAAAAGGTCAATATGTGTCCAGTGAGGAGTCTAGTCAACTTAATGTCAATCTTCAGATAAAAAAAAATATCCAGATGGACTATGTGGTCAATGACTGCGTTTACATAAACTTAATTATCAGATCATTATCGGATGTCAGCAGTCATCTGATTGCTCAAGTGGCCATGTACACGGCATTGAGGCCTAGAAAGAGAAATCTGATGAAGAGAGCTGGATTTTAGCTCAGTAACAGGGTTTATCAGTATGTGTATACCTTACTCTGATTTCTTTCAGTTTTCTCAGTCTGTGTGTGTGCGAAAACTGACCACTGTCCCAGAAATAGCAAGCAGTGTTCACCATAGTTCTTACAGGATTGCAACAAAACAATTTTGGAGCGATGCTGAAACTAACTAGGCTACATGCTTAACGGAACAAAGAATATTGTATATTGTTGTATATCTTGTATATGATGTGTATTCATCTATTCCACTAAAGTGGCTCGATGTTTAAAAAAAAATTCACCCAAGACGATGAGTTTTAGGTTACGCTTACATCACGTCTTATTCTGTGAGTTTATTGACTGGTTGCAAAGCAGAAATCCAATTACAGTCTGACTCATGTAGACCCAGAGGTTTTCCATTATCTGCTTACCCAAGTACATGTAAACCGACAAAATCTGATTTTCTGCAGTTATCAGATTATTAAGTGCATGAAAATGCACTCACTAAATCAGTAACCCCTGGCTGCATCCACATAGCTGAAAGAAACTTCCTTTCTTGCATGCTTGCCTTGATTTTGCCTGGTCTGTAGTGCTTGGCCTCACTAAACGTATTGGAAAAGCTGACTGTCATACATATGGATCCACATGGCTGCCAGATTGGGAAAAATCAAGTAAGTATTATTCTCCTATTCAGCTGCAGCCCATGTTTTTTCTTGGTTGCAGGGTAGAAAGCAGTAAAACACTGAACTATTATCATTTCACCTCAGAGACTCATCTTTCTAGAACTTTGTACTGAAAATGATCAGACTGTCTTTATTTGCCAGTATGTGTCAGGTACAGGTATTTCTTTTGCCATTTATCAGAGGTGAGCTGTGACTATTCAGGCCATAAGTGTTAAGGAAAAAACACTTCTACGATAACTTCTGCCAGTGTCTTTATGAGATTCTAGTAGTTTATTAGCGATAAACTAAAGCTGGTTTACATTAACATTTTCTAGCCATTCTAGATTAAACACAGTCATTTGAATCTTCTAAAAGACATGCTATGTTTTACTTAAAGCTTGTGACAGACATATTAGCACATATTCTACCTTATAGTAATTGACTCTTTCAGTAGAGAGGCCTGGAATAGAGCTGCTGCTGCTGTTTTCCATTTCTAACAATCTAAAGATTATGCTGCCCTTTGTATTCAGTCAGAGACGTATCTAGGATCTCCAGAAGGCCTAGAGTAGCGATTACCAGCTCTGCTCCAGGAGTCATATCCTCATGAACAGTTCACTTTCAACCCTAATTGAACACAACTGATCCAGATCAGCAGTCCAGTTAATTAGTTGGATCTGGTGAGTCAGATTTGGGCTGGAGCTGAATTCTACAGGAAGGTATATCTCCAGGAGCAGGGTTTGTGACCACCAGCTTAGATTGACATTTCTTTCTCATGAAATTGGTCCAGGCTATTCTAATCAAAATGTGATTTGTTGATATCTCTTACTTTTTTCTACTTAGTAATTATGCTAAGAGCTAATCTAACACATCTAGGGACTGCTCTTCAGCTCTTTAAATCCTAACCTATAAGAGAGCTTGCTTAGGTACATTTACCTAGATACCAAGAACAGAACACAATTCCTGTATAGAAATTCCTGGTTAAAAAATATTCTGAGCTATAGCCCCGGAAGCCCAGGCCAAGCAATGCTTGTGCAGAGACCCATCTCTCTAGAACCTTGTACTAAAAATGTACTTGTATGTTTCAGGTACAGGAATTTGTTTCGGCATTTATAAGTGGTGCACTGTGACTATTAGAACTAGGCCTTCAATTCGAGTCGTCCCGTACGGAAGTCTGATATATGTCTATATATGCACTTATTTCATAAAGGGTCAGGCATATATTTTAAAATGTACATACGTGTATATTGTGTACATATATCAAATAATAGCCATGTGTGCTTAAAATCAAGATCATAAATATATGTCTGTTAAAAGGAATTCATTGTATAGTTTACATGTGCATGTGTTTAGAGTTTAGTTATGTAGTTATTATACCAACTTCATTAGGAAGTAGGTTGAAGAAACAAAGAAGATGCAGAAAAACTTTATATTATATAACGTGAAGCTGGCATATATGAGTAATATATGTTATCCACATACACTATATTGCCAAAAGTATTTGCTCGGTTTAATATGATGTCGGCCCACCTTTTGCAGCTATAACAGCTTGAACTCTTCTGGGAAGGCTTTCCACAAGGGTTAGGAGTGTGTTTATGGGAATTCTTTACCATTCTTCCAGAAGTGCATTTGTGAAGTCAGACACTGATGTTGGATGAGAAGGCTTGGCTCGCAGTCTCCACTCTAATTCATCCCAAAGGTGTTCTATCGGGTTGAGGTCAGGACTCTGTGCAGGCCAGTCAAGTTCTTCCACACCAAACTCGCTCATCCATGTCTTTATGGACCTTGCTTTGTGCACTGGTGTGCAGTCCTGTTGGAACAGGAAGGGGCCATCCCCAAACTGTTACCACAAAGTTGGGAGCATGAAATTGTCCAAAATCTCTTGGTCTGCTGAAGCATTAAGAGTTCCTTTCACTGGAACTAAGGGGCCGAGCCCAACTCCTGAAAAACAACCCCACACTGTAATCCCCCCTCCACCAAACTTTACACTTGGCACAATGCAGTCAGACAAGTACCGTTCTCCTGGCAACCGTCAAACCCAGACTCATCCATCGGATTGCCAGACGGAGAAGCGTGATTCGTCACTCCAGAGAACACGTCTCCACTGCTCTAGAGTCCAGTGGCACCACTGCATTCGACGGTTTGCATTGCGATTGGTGATGTAAGGCTTGGATGCAGCTGCTCGGCCATGGAAACCCATTCCATGAGGCTCTCTACGCTGTTCTTGAACTAATCTGAAGGCCACATGAAGTTTGGAGGTCTGTAGCGATTGACTCTGCAGTCATTTGCAGTCATTCCTAATCACTTCCACTTTGTTATAATACCACTGACAGTTGACTGTGGAATATTTAGTAGTGAGGAAATTTCATGACTGGACTTGTTGCACAGGTGGCATCCTATCACGGTACCACGCTGGAATTCACTGAGCTCCTGAGAGCGACCCATTCTTTCACAAATGTTTGTAGAAGCAGTCCGCATGCCTAGGTGCTTGGTTTTATACACCTGTGGCCATGGAAGTGATTGGAACACCTGAGTTCAATGATTTGGATGGGTGAGTGAATACTTTTGGCAACATAGTGTACTATGCGGCCTTTATTTAAGGCGCAGAAACGAGTTTCCCCATAAACTATTTTGCAGATCAAAAAACATCCAGTCAAGTGTGTCTCACTCCGGACGCTAGGTGGCAACAGTGGGCCCTTGCCGTGTTTAGGCTGCCGTAAAGCCCCAGAAAGAAGAGGAGACTGGCGACTGCATTGTTTGGGCGAGTTTTCTCTCTCGGTCAGTTTCTAAATTGCTGTCCCTCTGACCGCTAAACGTCCTAATTAAACTCTTACGGAGCATCATGGACTCACACACAGTGTTCAGTAACAGACACGGAGGTGAAGACTCAGTTCTTTGAGAACTTTGAGAGGCGGCTGCGTTTGTTTACAGTGAATCAGCTGATGAGTTTCCTGCTTGGACAGCAGCAGCAACAACAGCAGCTTTTTTGCCAACATCACTGCTCAAAAACCGCAGATATCCCAGCCCGACGACACTCAGACGAATGTAAGTGATGATATGCTGTCTGCTACACTTGTTCCCTCCCCTGAAATTTCAGTTAGACGCTGAACAGTAAAATAATTTAGCACAAAGCTATAAATCTAAATGTCTGGTATATTGTGAGTATGTTGTTGCTACACGCTGGGAGAAAACTGTAGCTGCCTTTCAGGCTACAAACACTGACGCTGTGCTGGTATCGTTACCCTCAAACTACATCTTCAGTACCTTTGGTTAGGAAACTGTTGTAGCTTATTCCTTTGCAGTTATATATCGGAAGAAGATGCACTTACTCCATACACCCTGTCTTGACTCTTCATATTTTATTATCATATGATAAAACAAACATTTTCCCTGTAAAAAATGAATGTAGTGTAACATCATTGAATGCCAACACTTGACCTTATGGACCATATTATACCTTTGAGGGTACATTTACGTTATTCACTCTCAGAAAAAAAAGGTACTAAACTATCACTGGGGCAGGACCCCTTTTGTCACTGGGGTGGTACCCTCAAGGGTACATCTTCAGTACCTTTAGTTAAGGAACATAATTGTACCATATTTCACTGCAGTGATATTTTTGAAGTTGCCTTCAAATTGACTCCACACATCCTGTTTTGTCTCCAGCCTTTTTATTTTTATTTTCTGTTTTAGGGTATGAAAAGGTACAAATAAATACATTTTGGGATAAAAGTTATTTTAGCTATATAAATTTCCCTTAAAACCATTGCCATACCTTTTGAGAGTACATATAACATTGTTTGTGCCTTGCTGAATAAAAAAAGTACCTGCACAGTACCTTTTTTTCTGACATTCTTATGTACTGTGGGGAACCATAATTTAGTCCACCAGAGAGAGCTGCTTGGATTGCATTTACTGGACGTTTGGTTTAGGGGTGGGCAAAATGGCAAAAATAGATATTCAGAATATTTTTATGACATACAGTATGTTTTCTATTTCATTTTTTCTGAAGTTTAATGAGGAGGAACAAACAAAAAAACACTAATACTACTTGAAAAACTGCTATTGTAAACTGAGTATAGTGACATTTGTTCAGTATTTCAAATACTTTTATTTAAATAGATGTTAAACAGAAATGATTATGCTGTATTTTTAATGATATGTAATTATTAATTATTCTTGTAGTACTTATAATATCAATAATATACTCGGGACACCAGAGTGTGATGTAATTTATCATGATAACAATAATATATCATCACATTGCTTCATCCAGAGAGACACAGGACACACTAAATATCCCACAATAACAATTGGAATAAAAAAAATTGCCATTGTAGTGTGTCATAATTTAAAAATGTGTTTCTTCTACACTGTAATTCCTGATTGATTGTGTTTCTAAAACATCTCATTATTAGCATTACTTAATGTGAATTAGGGATTTTGCCACACAGAAAACCTAAATTACTGGCTTATTATAGTGACCGAACCTCTCAGTTAAAGAAATTAAGATGGTCACTAACTGGCCAGTAATAGGTGCCTTGTTGATTTCAGGTGCCATTACAGTGAATGAAGAAGGTCTAATTGCTGTGGGAGAAGATGCCGTGTACATGTGGGAACTGGAGGAGGTGGATCCGGCCTCTCGTGGTTCTCCTCTATATTTTGCTCCTTCTGGTGGTCCTCCCTCTGTGTATATGGGAGCTACAGAAATCAGAGGTCAGTCACTTTATTACCTTTGGTGTATTGGCCTGCTTTCAGCAAGGAAATACGCTAAACATTAACCAGCCTTATCTCTGGCTCTGACAATGAGCTGTGAGTTTTACTGACCACACTTTTTTGTACTCAGGTTGGCACCCACAACAAAGCATGGTTCATCGCAGGCATTTTTGTCTTTATGACAATACCAATATCACTGTGGGGAATTCTTCAGCATCTGGTCCATTACACCCAGCCTGAATTACAGAAGCCCATTATTAGGTAAGAATGCCTACATAGTGTTAATAATAATAATAATAATGATAATAATAATAACTACACAACCTGGGTGAGTAAAACTAAATGCAACTTTACTGGTCTTTCTTTTTTTTTTAGTTTTTAATGGGTAACCTCAAGCAATAAAGGAAGCCTTAAAGGGGAATTCCAATGATTTTTTGAACTTAGTGCACAATTCCATCACTGAGATTTAAAGAAAGTCATTCAGAGTGCTGTAATTTGATTGTAGAGGAACTTACTGATTTACTTAACAGTGATGATAGGAACCAGGAGTTGCCATGTCTACAACACAGATATAGCCATTTTATCTACTATCCAAAACCACCAGTGAAGCCACAATTGTCTTCTGATTTTTATATATAATGTTGACAGAAGTAAAAATGTTTCCTTTGGGGACTAATGTATCTCTCCACCGTGATTGGTTTTCAGAAGACACAATTTAGGTCAAAACAAAATCTCCAGCTATTGTAAAACAATGTGTCAGGCATCAAGCAGCATAATCATAACAATTTTGTCTAATAAATTTCTGTTAGGGAGGTTTTAGAGGCATTAAACTCTTCAGACGTCTGGTTCCATTCACCACCACTTTGAACAATTTTGATTCTGTAAGTTTTTCAAATGGAAATTTTCACATCAAACCACTCTAAATGATTTTGTTTACATCTTAATAGTTGAGCTATGCAGAAATGTTTTTTTAAAAATGGTAGATTTCCCCTTTAATACCTGTTCTAACAGACCTAAACCTAGTATTATGACATTAACAATAAACCTTTATATTGCCCAGAACATTTTATTGCTTTTAAAAAGTCTAATTTCAGTGTTTCTACTATCTCTCCTTTTTCAGGATATTGTGGATGGTTCCTATATATAGCTTGGATAGTGTGAGTATCATGTTATAATACTCTGAAATGTTGACCCAGAGTCATATTTGTCATTCTATGTCATCACAAGGCATTTTACCCTTTTTTTAGCTTTGCGTACATGTCTTTGCTGTCATCCTTACCATCCTTGTCAGTAATTGAAGGCCTAACGTTGCAGAGGCACATGACTTGAAGCATCTTCAGTCAGGCCTCCTGAGCTGTGAGCTTTGACTGAAGTCACACGCTTCTCTTCCTTCACTAACAGATGCTTTTTTGTTGTTGTTGTTGTTTTTTTTTATTTCGTGACATCCTTTATGGACCTAACAACCACAGTAATCTCTTTAACCTGACCAATAGTCTTTCAGCGCTCAGTCTGTTTTTCTCTCTTCTGCCCTTTAGTGGATAGCACTGAAGTACCCCGGCATCGCTATCTATGTAGACACTTGCAGGGAGTGTTATGAGGCCTATGTCATCTACAACTTCATGATCTTCCTGCTGAACTACTTGGGGAAGCAGTATCCCAGTCTAGTTCTGATGCTGGAGGTTCAGGAGCAGCAGAAACACCTTCCACCGCTCTGCTGCTGCCCGCCCTGGCCAATGGGAGAGTGAGTGGCATCTTACATGGGCCTATCCACATGCATTTTGAATCATAAACTTTATTGATAGTTATTGTTTAATAAATCAATAATGGGGCTGTGCACAAGAAGTTCTAGAGAAAGAGCAACAGTCTAAATGAAAAGCAATGAAGGAATTTAAATAGAAGAAACAAATTAAAGAGCACAGTTTAAAGGAACCAACTCTGGCCAACTTTAACTACTTGCTACATCTGTTGTAAACATGGTTGCTCACGTCATACTGTGGTTCTGCGGTAGCCTTTAGAGCGAGATTTTCCAGTTTGAATAATCTCCTTCTGATAATGTATCTTGAAGGTAGGAGGAGCTTTGAAAAAACAAAACAGCTTTGGTGTGGAAGGAATGCAGATAGCTAAAATTTCTGCAAGGAAGCTGGATATCTTATTGCAGCCGTGTAACTATAGCAACTGTCTTCAAATCCTCCTTACATCAGAGAGAAAGGAATACTCAAACAACAGAAATGTGTCATCAGATGTGGATTACAACAAGCTCAAAGCTAAAGTTAGCAAGATACCTGTGTAAATACCTCACTTTGGTTTCTTTTCTCTGCCTAAATAAGGGGAAAAAAACCTTGTCTTTGGTATTATTTTGTGCTGATAAAGATTTACTGTTTTTCACATCTTTGTTTGACAGCCTAGGTAAGAGGTACACTACTGCTAACTTCGCTCTATTTATCAGCCTATAGATCATCGGCTAGGCTAGCACTCGGGAATGGTTGACACAGCAGTGATTCCCAGTGGTTGGGTGATGTATTTGTGCAATGCGTGTTGGGTGTTGTGTGAGAGAGCTGATCAACAATAATATATAAACTATGTATATTTTTAGATTCTGTCAAACCAATGAGGCTGAGGGATACAGTGCTGCGCTACAGAATACTGCATGATGCAACAGATGACATATCCAACTCTAGTTTTTAGGCTGGAATGCCATTTAAGTGTTAAAGTACAAATAAAATTTCACAGTACAGTAAAAGACTTCGTTGACTGAGTCTAATTAAGTGCAATATTAAGTGAATGCAGTTTAAGATTCTTTGTGCTAAAAGCCCAGTCACACTTTCTTTTGCCAGCTAGTTTTTCACAAGCGAAAATTACATTCTTCACACCCAACATTACAGGTTTGAAACTCAAATTTGCATCCTCTTCAAGTAGCTTTGGCTGCATTGACCCCTGAACAGGTGGCCCTTCATAGCACTGAACCTTCAAATATGGAGGAAATGCTATTTTAACTGTCTATGCATAAACCTTTCACCATTTCTTTCCCTCTGGCTATCAGTAAATGCATAAAAGAGAGACTGCATGACACACTGTCAGTCAGAAGGCTATATTCTTATCTTTACTGTTGTGGTTTTACTGTTTGTTTTAGATAAGTTAGCCACACAAATCACCTCACTGCTGCATCCATGCCAGTTATGTACACTGTTTTGCTACAGATCAGTGCATAGATGTAATTATCTGTTATAAACATGATCAGTTTTTTGTGTTTTTTATTTATTGTAGGTAAGTTAGCCAGCTTATTAACAGCTAAGTTAGCTTCTTGGCTAACCACAGCTGCACACATACATCTCTGTCACCAACCATGGCAGTTAGCTTCATTCTTCTGGTATGACTCAGTGTTCAGCCCTATACTCCCTTGTATATATAAGTATATTACACAGTTATATGCGGTTATTGTTTATGGCTACCAAGTTAGCTATCTTGCTAACTGCACCGACAGCTTGCTAACTGCACTGATTTTTTTTCATCGCCAATTTTCCAGACCAGCCTTGGTCATGCTCATTTCACAAGGCGACACAAATTACAAGAAAACTGCATAGAAAGAGTGTCAGCTTGTTGTTTTAAAACAGAAACTAATCTAATGAATAAGTCTCTTATTTTAAGAGAATTTAATAGGATGTTAATCTTGTATTTCCAGTTGATACTATGACAGTAGAGTATAGAACAATCAATCCTGAGACCTGTTAAATTATAGATACGCAGAAGAATCTGGATAATTTATAAAGATGTGTCATAAACTGTGTCCAGATATTGTTTATGGTGTCTGGATTCTCATTAGTGATGGCTTTATTGTAAGTTCCAGTGCATGACGGACTGAGGGACGCTTTTTTTGCTGTGTTGTATTTTTAGATTTTTTCTGTTTCTGGATTGCCTTCAGTCTCACCAGTAGGACATGTTGAGGGTTAATTTTCCGACTGCTTAATTATCATTGCATTAAAACAAGGCCCTGGGAAAGTTCTTTTTGTTTCCATTGTCTGTTTATTCCGCTGGCTGAACCCTTATAGCTGTGTGAAGTTCAGAAACGCAATGAGACAGTTCGTTTGTTTCTCAGTTGCCTGTAGACAGTAAGGAAACCTGCTGGAAGGTTTTTGGACATGTGGAGCTCCACAGCAGCCAGTTTTAAATGAGCTTCATTCAGGCAACAATAGTAATGCTTAACATGTTTTTCTGTTACTGGTTAAAATCAGTTCTGAAGTGTTTTTTTTTATGTTCGTGAGAAAGTTGGTGTGTTTTGAAGTAACATCTCTCTCACTCTGTTTTGTACTTCTCTGTTGGCTGCTCTATACTATAAATATCACCTTTCAGGATTTATGTGTGAACGCTTTGCCTTTATTATAGCTTCCATTCTTTTCGGGAGACTTGCTTCAAGTTTTCAAAGAAATATGCAGGGATATTTTTCCACACCCACAAAGTTGGTTGCAGTTTCTGCTTCTCACAATCTAAGTAATTCCAAACACATTCAGAGATGTTGAAGTCTGGACTCCGGGGTGGTCAGGCCATTGTACTGAGAACATCTGAGTCTTCTTTGTTTGATTTCTTCTTTTTTTATCAATGTTCTTTTCTCTATAAGAGCATTTTGGACAGAAACCCCTGTGAATTTTTTCAGGTTCTAAAGCAAGAGTGGAGCTTGGTTTTCTCCATTCTCTCATAAATGAACGTGGAAAAAAACTGTATCTAATGGTTTTACAATGTTTTTTAACTCCAATTGTGGAATTGGCAATTTTTCTTTGGCTTTCCCCTTCCTTAATGCAAGTAAGTCATCTTATATCTAACCTCCTCAAAATATTTCCTGACAAATGAATAACTTGTACTTTATGACTGTTTTGACTGGACATTTAATAAATGACGGGTGGTTCTGACTTTTGAACAGCTCTGTATGTGTAGGTGTAGATCAAAAATATTCTACAGTTTTTAGGTATCAGAAGTAATGTTTTGAGAACAAAAAGTTAAATGGTAACATATTGTACATATACGCTTTACAGACTCTAACTAATAACTAACTGTCTTTGTACTTTATTGAAGCCTGTTGTCATGTTCAGTAGACTTTTAACTGTGTGATTAACTGAAGTTAATCAGGCCATTGAGGATAATGTCTTACCATTTCTGTCGGCTTCTTGTGTCATTAGTAATGATTGTGTTTCAGGGTGCTGTTGCTGAGATGTAAGCTGGGTGTTCTGCAGTATACTGTTGTGAGGCCCGTCACCACAGTCATTGCTTTGTAAGTGCCCTGTTTATCTCCTGGGTTCTGCTTGTCCAATAATACTTTTCAGGCCTTGAACATATGACAATCTGTTTGTGTTATATGTTTCATTTAAGCTCAATGTGAACATTATATACAGTCATATGCAAAAGTTTGGGTTCCCCTGGTCATATTACACATTTTGTCAATTTAAGTGAAAATAAGTTCAACATGTTCTCTACAGAGAATAAACGCATAATATGGCAGTTTTGTTTTTTAGAAAAGTGCAGAATTAAAAAAAAACATAAAAAATGTAGCTTTTGCACAAGTCATTTTGTGCATTGAAATGCATTAAAAATTGTGTTCTCTGTAGAGGATATGTTTTATTTACACTTAGCAAATCTCTCATAACTACAGAACTTGTGCATTAGTAATTTATAGTAGTTATTGAATAGTCTTAATAAGAAATGAATAACATGCCTGCAGTTTAAGCTCAAAGTATTTGCGAATGTGTACACATGGTATCTTGTTTATGCTTATGTTTTTGTGCTATTAGAATCTGTCAGCTTTGCGGGGTCTACGACGAAGGAAATTTCAGTTCCAAAAATGCCTGGACCTACCTGGTGATTGTGAACAATCTCTCCCAGCTTGTACGTTACTCTCCTTATTAATCTTCACTCTTATTATTGTAACACATTAAACAGATGAGAAGTGTGTTGGTCAACACATCCTGTTTAGAATTGTAACTGAACTGCAAGCAGTCAGTTTTCTCAGGAAAATAATTACATCACATTATTTTTCCCCCAAAATCACACCAATCTACCACCTTATATAGGAACATAATGCATTTTGTTCTTTTTGAGCATGCTCATTTAAACACAATAAAGCAAGTTAAGTTGTTGCTAGTAGTGGCCCCTCTAAACTCCACAAGACCCTAAATGGAATGAACTTCTCTTTGAACTGAATGTTCAGTTCAGGTATAGTACTCTCTTGAATTGAAGGTGCCTAAAAGGCTTCTTTGCATGATGCCAGAGAAGAACAATTTTTGGTTTCTTAAGGAACCTTTCAATGGATGGTTCTTTAGAGAACCATCCATCATCTAAACCGCTTATCCTTCTGGGTCGCGAACCACTTTTATAAATGGTATGTGTGGATGAACCTTATTAACGTTTAAAGAACCTTCACATAATGCAGAGGCACCTTTAAATTGGTTTTGCAAACCTTAAAAATGTTCTTCACACTCTCCTAAGTGGAAACCAAAGATGTTCTTCTATGACTTTGTTAAAAGAGCCATTTGTGGCGCCTTCTTTTTTATTTTTAATTTTATTTTGTTAAAGAGTGTTTGCTTTGCAAAAGTCTTAAGCATCTCTGAAAATGATATGTAAAGCCATTTATGTGGCAGTAAGCATTTATTTGTTCAAAAAGCAGTATCATTAGAATAAATACAAATAAACAAGTAATACATTTGACTTTTAAACATTTCCAAAGCTCTCAAATTGCGATTCAGTACCTTGTATATCGAATCAATCATTTATTAAATTAAATCATGACAAATCCATGCACTGACTAGAATTCAAGAAGTCAGGAACCAAACTTGTGTTCTTTTAACTATACTTTCCTAACCATATTGTGTTATATATATATATATATAGTTATATAGGGGGTTTACTGGCAAAACCACACTTAACTCAGTGTTACACAATGTTCCTGCCAGCCTAAGACCTTTGCACAGTGCTGTGTTTCTAGTTCATTAAGGATGGTTAATGAATATAACCAATTTTTGGAGATGTAGGCTTTTAATGCTGTCAGTGAAGTGGTACTAGATGTTGTATGATCATAGAGGTTGCAAGCATGCTATATTGAACCTGCACGTAGGACCTGAAACAGTTGTAACTGAGACTTATCCAGATCACTCTCTCCATCGTTATCTATTAGAGCTTTCCAGAAGCTTACATGAGATCTCTGCAATGTCTATGGGACTTTTCAAGGCCAACCACATACTAGTGCAGACTGTAAATGTCCTATTTTATTCTCAGTTGCACTTACAGCTGATTTGACCAAACTTTTAACATGTCTTTATTCAGCATGTATTTATATACAGTGCACCTATTTTTTTCCCCCCAGTTTGCCATGTACTGTCTGGTGCTGTTCTACAAGGCTTTGAGAGAAGAGCTGAGTCCTATCAAGCCTGTGGGCAAATTCCTCTGTGTCAAACTTGTCGTGTTTGTGTCATTCTGGTAAGTCAATTCAATATGTCATGCTTCACCAAACGTGAAACATATCAAACCATAACATTATTAGACATAATAGGACTCTGTTCAAGCATATTACACTTGTCATTTCACATGTGTCATATATGGATAAGATTTATCTACATTCCAATTGCAGATTTAAAGTGCTCGTTTTTCGACATTACATGCAAATCCATGAGAAGAAGCCTGGTGCCACAGAAATGTTGTTTTAAACAGAACTTAAGGGAAAAAAGTGATCCAGTTTGTATGAAGCATTCAGTGTAAAAGGCCACCAGAGCGGTTACACACAGCTTTTGTTTTGACGCACATGATTTCGCTAGTGAAAGAGATGTATATGCAGTAGTGATGCAGATTATACATGTGGCTCAGGCCTGTGACCAGTGACAGTTATCTGATTTACAGCGTTAACTGCCCTGAGTGACGGTAAACTTTGTGGTCAAATTAAAGACGAGTATATACTGTGCAATAATTTTTTATTTTTTTGGACAAAGACCAAGCTCCAACTTGCATGTGGTCACTGTGCTTGCTTCCATATCCACTTCAGAGTTGAGAACGGTCTAAAAATTACCAGAAGAAAAAATGTTGCTTTTATTTTTAATAGTCGTGGTGGTAAAGTAGTAGTAATAAGAGCTGAGTCCTATCAAGCCTGTGGGCAAATTCCTGTCAAACTTGTCATGTTTGTGTCGTTCTGGTTCTCCAGCTTGTAGTAGTAGTAGTTGTTGTTGTTGTTGTTGTTGTTGTTGTTGTATCTCCGTGATTACATCTGGTAATGCTTCTTTACACATCATCAGAGGTAATAATAGCCCTCAAACCGAACCCACACGGTTATTCAAATAAGAAGATTCTGTTACTGGCACAGGTCTAACATGGCTTGAAGAGACAAACATTTACATCGGCATGGCTGTGTTTCCAGTGTGAGCGAACAGATGGTAATCCATCTCCAATGTGTTGGTTGTCTTCGTTGCTTTTTCATGATCATATAGTCGTTGAATCAGCTACATGAAATGGCTGAGTGTAAATAGACTCTTCATAACCACTGTATGTTTGCTATAATTCTTGTCTGTATGACACATATACCACATACAGGCAGGCTGTGGTCATCGCGTTGTTGGTGAAGGTCGGAGTGATTTCAGACTCTCATACCTGGGACTGGGACAGCGTGGAGGCTGTGGCCACCGGACTGCAGGTGCACTCTTATTTTTCTTCCACTAATTAGTATTTTCATTAGACACTTAAATTAAAAATGCAGAAAACTCTGTGGCGTTGAATATTGTCTTATAGTACCTGCTGATGGTCAAATGTGTTCAGCTTAAATATATTTGAAGGAAATTTTCTCCACTCTGCCAAAACTATCCATTTCCTTTACAATCAATCTTGTAATAGCATTTGTTCATTCCTTGCATCCCAAACTCTGATGGTCCTTTTCACAAAAAAGCTCCAGTAATTGCTGATTGTATCTGAGTCTGACTGTTGGATAGATTCTTTTAGACTGTTTAAGTTGCCAGTCACTGTCTCAGTGATATTATGACAATAATATTAGTCATCCAGTTCACATTTTGATGTACTCCAGCTTCCAACATAACCTAACCAAGCAATCTGGAATACTCAATATCTATGAATACCTGGAACATGTTTGATAGCAAGATGAAGCAAAAACGTGTACTCACTGGGGGTCCACAAGGTTTGAATTGCAAAAAAAAATTTACTCTTATATATTTATATATATATATATTATATATATATATATATATATATATATATATATACATATATATATATTAGTGTATTAAGGTTGCTTTGCCCTTGCAGGATTTTATAATCTGTGTAGAGATGTTCCTGGCAGCCATTGCCCACCACTACAGCTTCACCTACAAGCCTTACATCCGGGAAGCCGAGGAAGGCTCCTGCTTCGACTCTTTCCTGGCTATGTGGGATATCTCGGACATCCGGGCTGACATCTCTGAGCAAGTGCGCAATGTTGGTAAGTCACAAGTTTTCAGGGAGGCTCCCACGTGCTGTGCTTGTCTGTTTCTGGACAGGTTGTGCCAGCCTGGTTTCTTCATTTTAAGAATTCTGCCAGCAGATGCCTGCAATTGTTCATACACTGCAAACAAAGTTCATTTACACCTTTTGATGTCGTTTTGAAGTTTGCAGTCATTTGACTGGCACAAATTACAGCAGGAAATGTTCAAGGGTTCTGTGATTGGTTGGCAGGCTTGTTAGAAGGTAATATGGCCATCTGTGATGCTGTAAATGCTAAGTAACTGTGCTTTTTTTGTCATAAGTTTTCCATTCTGAATGATATGCAAACCACTCTGTGCTTTCCACATTACAAACAAAGCGTTTTCTGTCGATACAGCAGATTATTTTTATAATTCGGCTAACCTCCAGCACACTTAAGCTGTACAGAAATACTGCACATTTTACTCTTCACACACAGTAGCTTCCAGGCTAGAGCTAACTTAGCTGCTTTAGAGTAATATCCTGTCTTTTTAGCTCTTTTTCTTTTTTTTTTTTAAAGATGCGGAAAGCTTAAGTTATCCATGCAGTAAAGCTAGCATTTCAGCATGTAGCAGAAAGAGAGAGCCTCTGTCTCTCTCTTAAAGCCCACTTATGTAGTTTTCATGAAGATTCTGACGTTCACTAATGTTTTCTTATTTGGGATTTGTTCTTAGGTAAGAACAAAATCTACACACACTCAAGAGCATAAAGGTGTAAACAACTCTTGTGGTTTAAGAACACATCATGAATCTGACTTAAACTTTATCTTAGGACCTTTCTCAACAACACATTTAAGAAGAAACTTAGGGAGATATTCTTGAATGAGGCCCATTGATTTTCAAACTTTTAAACAGTACTATATCCAGGAGAAAATTACCTTTCTTTATGGTTTTGTTATCTACTAAAGTCTCATCACCGTCTTACAGGGAGAACAGTTATGGGCCGGCCGAGGAAGAACTATTTTGGTGAGGAAGCAGAGCAGGATGAGCACACCGGGCTGCTTTCAGATCCTGCCCTCGAGTCCTCGTCCACACCCCCGTCGCCAACGGGACGCTACCAGGGCCTGGGCCGCACCGTCACACCCCACTCGCGCTCCGCCCCTGCTGAACTGTGCTCCACGCCGTGGGATGGAGATGTGGATGACATCACACCCAGTGTGTTGTCAGGTGACCCTAACAAACAGCTGCGCACAGACTACGCTGCAATCACTTAGCCTGGCTTTCACTTAAGCTACCAAAGCCAATGCAGGTAACTCACATGAACCTAAATGAGTGTTATCTGCTGTTTCAAATGTGCGATTAATCTGTGCCCCAGAAGCTAATATTCACTGGTTACTTGCATTTAAAATGTATGGCCAAAGGGGGTTTGGCGAAGCTTTGGTAGCTAGGGCATATTTGGGATTTTTGTTGGCCACCGTTCAGGCTAGGTCATCTGTTTTTATCATGCCCTTTAAGTTTTTTGCTGACCAAAATAAAGAGGGCAGAAGACAAAGCACACTGTAGTCGTAGTGCAGCAATATCAAATTTTCTCCACAACCCCTGCCTGATCCTACTAGACAGCTGTATGAATGTTAAATGTGAATGGTCTACAATTTGAGACAACAATAGCACATTCTACCTTCTGTTCAGAAAAGCTCATTTACATTTTTAAGTTGTCTTTTGTTTTAAATTAGTAAATCACTTGATGCTCTTGTGACATTATTGTTATGGTCACAGTTCATCTGTTGATTAAGACACTAGTGATGATTTCACTCGTGGCCCAAATCGGTACTGACCGCTTGCAGAGGTTGTTTTGAGAGAAGAACTGACGGTGACTCAGAATGAACTGTGTGCATTATCAATGCTAAGGATGCATTTTTTGACATCAACATGCAGTTATACTAGGGGCACCCAAACGTTTGCATACAACTGTACTTCCATCTTAAAAGGATATTCCAGCATTTTACAGTTTTATTCATTTTATTATGAATAGTGATGTTTTATTGAGGGCTATGTTTCAGCCAGTATAGGATGAGAGTCACTTTCCATCTAATATAAGCTTGCATGTGTATTTTATCTGAACACATAAAAATGGACTGAAAGAGACCAGAAATAACTTTTTTTTATTAATGCACAAAGCATGGGCTATCCCTTTTATATAAAGTGTGTGCCTGACTGATTGTACACTTCATCAGTTTACTTTGGTCCTGACTGGGTTATGCTGTTTTATGTAGAAGTTCATTTAAAATGTCTCTTTTTCTCTTCTGAACTGACATTTTAAGATTATTTTATAAGTTATTGTACGAATATTAAGGTAATTTTTATCAACCAAAGGCACACTTCATGATGTTCATGAAATCTGTCTAAATTTCAGGTCTTGATTTATTTTGTATGTTTTCATAATGCCTGATGCAGACCATTAACCCATCCTAATATCTGATCAGCTGTCTATACCTGCAAAGATGTTTCTTAATTCTCTTTTTATTTGTTTACCTCCATATTTCTGCTGTTATAGCTCTGTCGAAGATGCTTCTATATGTCACAAATCAATAAATGTAAGAGGGGAGTCTGTAAGAATTGGACTGTGCTTTCACCTGTTTAATGATGACCATATACAGCACATTAAAAAGGGTCAGTCTAGAGCATGAAATGAGTCACTAGCATAAACTGTACTGCAGTTAAAATGGTTCAAGCCAATACTAAATTAATATCAATTTTAACTGTATAGAGTCCATGGCAACATGCCCGACCTTCCTTTAGGTCAGGGTTACCCAACTATGGTCAAGCAGAACTACACCTCAGTGCAGTCTTTTTTTACTACGATTTTACTGCTCACATCAAATGTTAGTTACCAGAATTAGTGAGTGTGTTAGAGCGGAGAAAGCACCAAACTGTGCTGGACTCCACCCTAGAGCACACCCTGGTTCTTATGGCACTAATAACAGGTCCTGCTGTGCCCCTCCATGTCAACAAAAGCCACCTCGTGGATGGTCCATAGCAACAGGCTCTTCCTTAGCAGTGGCATCATCTGCTATGACTGCCTCCTCTCTGACAGCTGTTATAGAGATGCTGCTCTTGTGTAGCTGGATGGTAAGCTGGACCCAGTCACCTGTATTTACCAGCAGGGGGCGCTGCAGGACCACAGCCGCCTGCTTCCAATGTGAGTCCTGGCTGAATGTGGTGACTGTCAAATCCACGTCCAGATAGATCTGGTACCAGAATGGGATGGCGGTCACTTTGCCAGGGGCAGTAACACGCACCTACAACAGATGAGAGAGAAGTGAGAATTTAAAGCAATATGAGGTTAAATTGTTCTTAACTCTTTTGTGCATTCTGCTTTGGCTGAGTCTCAGCTTGGCCTGTAGGAGAGCAGTACAGCCTGAATATCTGCATCACCTTTCCAAAGTAACCTGTGTCCTCTCAGCAGGTTATGTCATAACTGCACACTACCTGCCATGCTAACTTTGTTCTTGGTATGCTTTGGTAGTTTTAGCTTTAGGTTAAATTGTGTGTTTGCAACATATAAATCACTTCTTGTTAAAATAATAAAACCATAATTGTTAAAAACCATGTGAAGTGGACTAAAGGCTGTGTTTACATGTTAATGTTGAGAAAAACAAAACTGTAGCGGTAGCGGGATAACACAGCTACATGGTGACTGTCTTATCAGAAGGATGCTCTGTTGTTACATTTTTTGTGGTGTAATACTGGAATTCAACAATGTTTGATATCACATCCGGGTTATTTCACTGCTGCGGTATATGGCAAAAGTTGGGAAAATAGAACTCTTGATGTAATGTTCCGCTTACTAGCAGGGGAATTTTCCGTCACAGCTCCTCAATGGAACAATGGAATATGCGGTTTGCCATCAGCTGTCTACCACCAACATGTGAACCCTGCATTACAGGAACTATATGACTGACAATGTAAAAAAACTCCCTGTTCATGTTTCGTGGGGGAAGGCTGCTGCACAACCTTATTAGTTTAACAACAACACGTCTAGATTGCCTTACTCTGATGCCTCGACTGGTATAGTTGGCGTTGCTGTTCATGAGATCGAGGGTGAAAAGCTCTACTGGATCACTGAGGTGTGTGCACTCCAGTGTGGACAGGTCCAAAAATACATGAACAGGCACCTAAGTACAGATTTAACAACTGTTACATGTTAGGATTTAAACAGACATTCCTTTAAAAAAGGTAGTCAGGTTAAATCAAGGCACGATCTGTCAAATCTCAAAGTTATATAACTGTCCACCTTGTACAGAACTGCAACACCATGTCCTAACAGAAAGCACCGTGAACGAGAGACGACAAAATCGAAAATGAAGCTACAGCGACAGAACACGAGACGTCGCTTCTGACCGTCCCCCAGTTTATATTTTTGACATTCTACCAAGTGAAGGAAAAGAGGGAGCTCTGTTTTACTAATTTTTAATTCTGCCATATGTGTTTCAAGCAAGAGTATAAACATATGCCATATATATTTGCAGTTCCTAGTATGCATGACATGGACCAATTACCACACTGCAATTGTGATATGCCTTGCAGTATGTACTAAAAATATTACTGACCAAAATAATTTGCTTGTTGGATCATGTGAATGCTTTAAAACATCTGAAGAACACTGGCCTCAATAATCTAAAGCACACAATTATTGTTTAGAGGCTCATTTGACATTGCAGCTCTCTGCAGTTTGCCTACTGTCATATCATGATCATGATTAGCAAACACTATATTGTGCAACCACAGCTCATAGCCTTCATTCCCTAATGCAATATTTGCACAGTTTTGGCTTTTGCCTTAACAAAGCAGCACTTGAAGGAGTTCATAAATAGTGTCCTAATCTACAGGTGCTATCTTTTATATGCACTTTACACGTGGGTCCGGGTCAACAGGCTCCTGCACAGAGCAATGCTGAGTCCCTCACACCCCCCCTTTCTAGTCATGCTAAAAAGCATGACCCTTGACTGAGCACTTCAAAGACTACGGGAATAAACGTACCACCGTCCCATGAGTGCCCAACTGAAATTAGCGTGTAAACGCAACATTCAAAAGCTCTTTTCTGCTCCTGGTTGTACGGTTAGAAAATCCCTGATACCACTGAAATGGCATTTCAGCAATGGGATGAACAAAAAAAAAAAATCAAAACAATGGGTTAAGTACAAAGCACTGGTTATTAGCTCTTTAGGGACGAGAAACTACTGCAACCTATGAAACGTGCTTTGACGCAGCTTGTGTTCAGTTCTAAACTTATGCATTATGCCAGAGAGGAGTTAATATCACCAATAGTAGAGCTGAATGACAGATTATCTGCTACACAGATATTGCAGAATATACAAATGAGCCTCTTACCACTCTTTTTCTATACGACAATACTTTATTGTATGCTGTGAGCAGGGCTCAGAAACAGAATAATAAAAAAAATAAAATAATTAAAAAAAAATAATAATAATAAAATAAAATTTGGTCTGTTTGCTATCAGTTTGCTACCAATATTTTAACGTTTCTGTTCTTTTGTTTCAATGTTCCTAAACTGATGAGAACGAAAAACTAGTTAATTCCATTTTTTTTTTTTTACATAGGCTTTTTCTCTTTACGTAAACTTGCATTAAAATCTGTACACCTACCATTTTACAGAGATAGTTGTTTTTCTTTGGATGGCAATGATATAATAAAACAGAACGTTTGAAAAATGATTAAACTTGGTGGATGTGTTTGTTTTGATAAGGACACACAGGCTATGAAAGTCTACTGTTTGTGAATCAGTAAATTGCTCCAACAGCTCAAAATAATGTACCAGAGGTTATGATCAAAATAAGCCCAAATGCAATGTTGTACATTATCAAAGCAAAGCAGGAAAACACGTCCTGAACATTTTTTCCAAGCTATTTTCAGTATGATTCACCTGTCCTGTCATGTCCAACAAAATTAGCATACTTTGATATTCTAGGTTGTTCACTGTAGTAACTGCAAGCAATAGCATTGGTTTATTTGAGGTCTCAACAATGTTAAGGGTTGTCCCACTACTACCCCTTATAACTTAGTTACCCAAGGGGTAAAGTGATGCCTGAAAACAAGGGATAAGGTTAAAAATAAGAAATGTGAATGGGCCTTAAATATGGTATTTTCTACTAATTTTAGTTTGCAATTTCTTGTTTAACACATTGGGAAAAAATAAGAAACACATAAAATGTGCTATAACCTTCACGCAGACATCTTTTTTTTTTTTTTACAATATGTTAAATGTGCAGAAGTGTGTTCTCTGTAGAAGATGTGTTAACTTATTTTCACTCAAATCAGCAGAAGAGGTCATCAAACCATGGGCACCCACCCTTTTTTTTGTGATATGAAAAAAAGGCTACAGTTAGCTGGTTGATGAAAGGATGTTGCAGCCGCTTTTCATCAAACGTTTGGAGCCCCAGATGTGAGCATATTTATCAATCACAGATCTTTGTTGGAATGAATCAAGGCATTTAGATGATCCAACAAATGTTCATCATTTTGGTTAAGTGATGCAGGGCGATGACACATCTAGGGTTCGCCCATGTGTTTTTAGTAAATTGCAAAAATATTTCTATAGAACAATCTCTTCCTTCAAAATTGGACTGTACATTACTTTTTCCACACAATACTGTCTTTGTCTCACTCTTGCTGCCTTTCAGTAATGTTAATTTGACCCATGATACCACCATCCTATTGCGGTTTCTGTTATTTGATGTGTAACATTCAATCACGAACTTGAATACGAAAGGCAGTATATGAAGCAGGGGGTCAAACTTGGTTCCTGGTGGGCCACAGCTTTGCATACACTCTGTATTCAACTCAGAGGCTTTGGTGATGAGCTGATGAGCTGAGTCAGTTGTGCTTAATGAGGAAGAACACTAGCGGTGCTGTGGCCTGCCTGCACTTGAGGGTGACATATGCGATATAAAGAAAAGCTTACAGTGAACTGGTTGATGAAGGGAGCAATGTTGAATCCCAGCGTGGGATCTGTGCCCTGCACCGCGCTCTCCTGAAGCAGCGTGTCTGACTCCACCAGCAAGCCGTGAATGACAATGCGCTCTGGGAAAATACGCCCACCATCCTCCAAGAGACACCTGGATGACAATATGACACAGACAAGTTACAGAAAGTTAAAAAAGCTAGATTATAACACTCTCCTCTGCTAAAAAGAAAAAAAAAGATGGACCTCATTCCACGAAAGATTAAGTTAAAAGGGAATTACTAAAACTTAGTAGAAACTTACAAAGTCAGACTTGCAGGGCATAGTATTGCAAAAGTCCCCAAAGAAAACTTTTTTGCATTTTTTGGCTATTTTTCTATTATCAAGAGTACATGTACAATTCAGAACTCAGTGTAGGTTTACTGGTCATTTTGTGAGCACTGGTTCCCATCAGTACCAGTGTAAAGAAATTTGAATCAGCAAGTTTCTCAACAGTTAAGCATTTCATATCAAACTCTAAATGACCAATTACATCTTAACAATTGAATTATGCAGAAGCTTTGAAAAATTGGTGGAACTGTCTTTTAAATAAGGAAAGCTGAAGTGAAGCGAGCATTGGCAAAAAATAAAAGTGACAAATTTTTTGTCTTAATTTGCTACTTTAGATCTGCACTGGAGCTACGAGGCTAAGTAGCTAATAAGTAACTGAATCTTAAAGCCCACCAACTGGCATCATAGATCATCACACACTTACCTCAAACCTGCTTCTGTGTTGAGATGCTTACATTGTTTCTCACACTGTGTGTTATATAGAATAAAAACAGTGCTAGCAGTCATCTTAAAGCCTGAACCTCAACTTTTGTTTAAGAAGCAAACGTGTCTATGCCAACAGACTACATTTTTGGTAAGGGGAACCAAATTTGATTTTTTTTTTTTTTTTGCGGAAGTGTCACTTCAACAATAACCATCTCAAGACAAGTCTCTTCACCTAGCAAGTGTAGCTTTCTCCATCAGCCTCTGTCTGATCAAGCCGCAGGTTTCAATGCAGTCCAGCACAATAGCGCTCCACAGCTTTTCTGAGGCTGGCCTCTGCAGCACAGCAGAGTCGTCTTCCACGTGGCTGAGCCAAAACTCAAGTGCATTTTCCTCCACTCCGTTACTTTGAGCCAGGAGCCGCAGCAGAGCCTGATGCTGATCTTTCTCCACTGAGCTGTACGCCTGCACCAGACTCGATCCTGAATCCTGCCCCAGTCTAGCTGCCAGCAGAGAGAGCACGGAGAATCCTTCAGAGACGTCCAACATGTAGAAGGGCTCTGAAGACGAGATCTCTGACGCCTGCATCTCCCGAGATGACCTGAGGGCAAAAATGGGCATTTTAGCCAATTCTGCTATTCAAATACCAGCTTTAAATGAATAACATTAGAATCTCAATGAGAAAATATCTTAGATTTTTATTCATTAAAAAAAAGAAGAAAACACTGAGATTTAGCATGTAGCATAGGAGCTGATTCATACCTGATGAAGCCTTGCACTACACACACCTTCCTTACCAAACATTTTGTAGTTATAAAGCTATTTAGACAAAACACCAGTTTACAAAATCACCTTTTTTTATCCAAAGCATGCAACATTTAGCTCTTAGAATTTTGGGGCATAAGTAACTCAATCATATCAATCTTTTTTATTTCTCTAAATATACAAAGGTCTACTATCCAGACAAAATGATGTCTGCACCTGTTGTATTTGCAACAATACAACAATATAAATAAACTAATTTAAGTTATTAAATTATTATTTACAGCTCTTCTTTGTTTAACAGATTTTGACAACTGAAGACAGCATTAAATAATTCATAAATTTATAGCAAAACAAGTATATTACTACACCACTGTTGTGCTCACTGTTTTTAAAAAAAAAAAGATTAAAATAAAAGAGAGATTGTTTTAACAGGTGTGGGTTTCAACACTTCTCCACTTTTGTCAATTGAAGTTATAAATAAATAAACAAAATATCTCAAGGTCTGTAGGTCGTGTTATCTCATGGACACCAACCCAATCGGTACAGTTCATTACCCATACTTGCACACACCTCATTCAAAAACCCAGTTCAGTAAACAAATGCTAACCACAGTCATGCCTACCTGAGAGAGGTCAAAAGTTTTTCCACTGCCATTCGAAAGCTATTGTGGTAACTGACGTTGTTGAGCAGGGCGATTTCTGAGCACTCCAGCGTAAACATGTTAGATACTGTATCGTGGCGGGTCTGGAGGCTCGCCAGCGCACTACACAAATCCACCTCAGGATTCAGTGGCGCTACAGCGGAATAGTCATCTTCTTCCATGCTGTCAAGATGAAACATTTGGCCATCTCTCACTATGGCAACGCAGCACAGTCTCAGGTAAGCGTCCCTGCAGGAGACTTCCACCAACAGCTCGTCATTACGCTTCACACTGCAATCTGCACATGAGGGAGGAAAAAAAGTAGCTCTCTGTAGTGATAAAAGTGCTAAATAATAAACTGTAACAGACTGAGGGACTAGTTGTAATAGTTGCTAAAAAAGTAAAGATGCACAGTGATATGTGAATCAGCAGATACTGGCTTTAAAAAAATATATCGGCATTGGATGGATGTTTAGGTTTGGCTGATATATCAAAACGATGTTTAATGACAGTTATTGTACTCAATAAGAGCAGAATATTTAGGTGATGCCTGGTGACTATGCTAAAATGTATCCATTTTATTCACAATGCTAATCCAGGTAGATTTATTCCTGATTTATACATTTTGTCGTTTATTAGCAGATATGTACATGAAAGGTACATGAAAGAGTCCACAATTTCCATATTGATGCATCCCTAATAAAAAGTATGGTCAATTTCTGTTGAGCTCTATCTTGTTCAAAGTATATCTAAATACTCAAAATATATTCATCAAAATGAATATGATTAGTGAAAAGAGGCTCGTCAAGGCAGAGGCTTTTTTTTGCATAATTAAAAAATTCACTTACCCTCCCCACTGTGTTAAAATTTATGATTAACATACCAATAGAAATTATCCTAAATTACTTGTAAAATGTTACACTAACATCCATCTTACGCACAAACAAGCACAAGTAGGCACAATGTTCATTAAGTGCACCTACTTGTATCTGCACTCTTTGTCCACTTTATCAGCTTCACTTACCATATCAGTTCACTATGAAGTTCTACAATTACAGACTGTTGTCCATCTGTTTCTCTGCATACTTTGTTAGGCCATTTCACCCTGTTCTTCATTGATCAGGACCCCCACAGGACCAGCACAGAGCAGGTATTATTTGGATGGTGGAACATTCTCAGCACTGCAGTGACACTGATGTAGTGGTGGTGGTGTGCTAGTGTGTGTTGTTCTGGTACAAGTGGATCAGCTGCTGGAGTTTTGTGCACTTACTGTCCACTCTATTAGACATTCCTACTTTGTTGGTCCATGTTGTAGATGTAAAGATGATAGCTCATCTGTTGCTGCACAGTTTGTGTTGGTCATCCTCTAGTGCTTCATCAGTGGTCACAAGATGCTGCCCACAAGATGCTGCTGGATGAATATTTTTGATGTGACTATTTGTACTGAGGGGTTGAAAAACTCCTGCAGCACTGCTGTGTCTGAACCCCTCATACTACCCCTCATACCTGTAGCTACCCAACACTAACACACCATGATGTCAGTGTAACTGCAGTGCTAAAAAGAATAACCACCCAAGTAATACCTGCTCTGTGGTGGATCTTTGAGGGTCCTGACCATTGAATCACAGGATAAAAGGGGGGGGGCAAACAAAGTATGCAGAGCAACATATGGTCTTCAGTCTGTAATTATAGACCTACAAAGTGCGGTTATATGGTGAGTGGAGCTGATAAAATGGACAATGAGTGTATATACAGCAAGGTATAAAAAAAAATCTTGACAAATGATCTGACTGCTGTCAGAATTCGCTGATTATGTTGAGGAATACAAGATCATGTCCAAAAGCATGTTGTTTATGAACTTGTCTGACAACAAAAGAAGTCCATGTTACATTTTACCCCGTGTTAGGTTGTGTCCTACTCTCCAGTACACTGTTACATTGTTACTACAGCTTTGTAAGCAATTTCAGTCACCCTTAAAGTTTCGTACTACAGTAACTGTGAATGAACAAACACACAAACTAAATGACTAACTTTTTAACCATCAATTTAAATTGGCAAGAGACAAACTGTGCTCTCCTGTGTCCAAAAAGGAGAAACAGAAAGTAGGAGAGAGAAACTGAAAGAGCAAGAATGCCAAATGAGCTTAGGAGGTGCGTGAAGAGCAGTCCTGTAGGACCAGCATCTGAACGCGTCCTATCAGAGGTGCATGTGTATGTGTGGCTTGTGGCTGGGAGTTGGAGGAGCATGCATATTCATGCCCCATTAGAATTTCATGAACACTAAAGAGAGGAATCAGCGCTGGCGGGACGTCGGGGAAAGAGGATGTCAGCAATCACCGGAGGAGGAGGTGGAGAAAAAGGAGGATGAGGAGGGTGTTCCTCCCCAGACGCTGCCCCTGACAATTAGCCCTAATGCTATAGGAAGCTCTTATCAGCACTAAGGCTTGCCTATGACTGCAGCTGTGTCATAACAGAGCAACACTGATCAAAAATAGTCAAAAAATGCCATGAGTCACAGACACTAGTCGGGTAGAACCTTTAGGGCTGCTCCAGGGATTAGAACATATGATCCTTTTAGAAAAGTTTGTTGGTGAAGTAGAACTTTTTAAACAAACTTTAAGTATGCATTAGTGGTGGTAATAAATTGGTAATAAAGGTCTAATTTACAGCATAGACTACATTCAAAAAGTAGCCTGCATTTTTAAATGTCTTAACTTTATTAACATTTTGTTACACAGATACCAGACCAAGCGTAAATGTAAGACTGCAGCAGGACATGCTGAGGGCTGTCATTACACATCTTGCAGTGTAAAGTCTGATGTTGAAAATGTAAAATATGTTAATGAAATAGAACATGTTCATGTGGTATTGCATCACTGATTCGAGCAGCCATAAAGATCAGGCCAAATTTACAGTTGTAAGAACAATTTTCAAATTTCTTACAACTGTTTTTCAAATTTTCAGCATGATTTAATGGTTAAGATATAAACAGCTATTCCTAGTGGTTTGATGTGAAATAATTCATTTCAAAGTCAGGATTGTTGACAGTGGTGGTGATAGGATCCACATGACCAGCAGGTTTAAATGCCTCTAAAATAGGGCTGGGCAATGTGACAGTGTGTATCGTTATCATGATAAATTATGTCACAATACAATACAATATCATGATCCAATACAATATCCAAATACACTGACTAACTGCATGTTTCATTAAAAAGAGAGCAAAATTAGTCCATTTAAGCACTTTTAATGCAAGACAGTATGCCAAATATTGTTAGTTTTTGGTTGTATTTTTTAAAATATAGCATTACTGAATCTTTTTTCTCAGTTCCAACTGATTAGATGTCTGAAAAAATAAATATAGTGATATCATATATTGTGAAAATGTCTTTAAGCATCGCAATATTTCTACCATATTATCTACCTATACTCTAAAAGCGACATCACAGAAAATTATTACATGAAAATGGTTACACATACATTGCCTGATGCCTAAGGCATTGTTTTACAGACAAGATTTTGGCCTAAAATGTATTTTTTTAACATTCATTCAAGGTAGTAAAGTGCCTGCAAGTTGTTCTAAGGCAAACATATTTTTCACTAATTCACCATTATCAACATATAAAAGGTCAGAAGATATGTACAGATTCCCTAGACATTTTGGATATTAAATAAAATGACTATATACTGCGCTGTAGATATTGCGACCTCTGATTCCTGTCACTACCACTGTAAAGAAAACCAAATTGTTAAGTTTCTCTACAATGATCCATTTCACATCAAACCACTGTGAATGACTGAATAATGCGGAAAATTTGAAAAACCTGTGGAATTCCCCTTTATAAAGAGGATGTACAAAACCATATAGCAAAGTTTGGTAACACTTCATGTGCATGGTCCACTGTAGATGCTCCTTCTTACTTTAACTAACATTCAACTACCTATCTATCAAATGCAACTGAACCTGAAGTTGTGGGTGAAAGATTCTATTAAATCTAACCCTAACCTTAACCTCAAGGCAAAACCTAAACCTACTCCTAGACCTAACCCTAACCTTAATGTTACTGATAATCAACTATCACCAGAAAGTTTGTTAAAAACATAAGTATCTGTAGATCATCTATAGGAGACCATTCAAATAAAGTGTGACCAACGTTTTATTGTCTAGGACCTAGACTAAATCTAAGACTGAGACTACTGCAGGTCATTTGGCCTTGCTGCCATAGACAATTCTGTTCTGCATTTAACATTTTATTATCTGGAGACTGTCTTACGGGCTAGGCTTTGCACTGGGTAGATGGCCTGCTCCCAGCAGGTGTTCTCCTGAGGCCCGGTGGAGATGCTGTTCTCTTGGTCCAGGTGCAGCTGGAACCACACAGCCAGAGCATCCACAGCACCCTCCTGGGTCACCGGCACCCGCAGACGCATCACCTTCCTGGAGCACAGGCTCTCCAGCTCCTGCAGGAAAGAGCGATCATTTGTTAATGAGCAGTGTATGATTAAGAATATCGTTTATGTTTGTATGACAACTAGATCGATTTAAAAAGGTTTTTTTGACGAATTAGGCTGAGTTTTTGTCCAGCAGGTGGAGCTGTAGTTCTGAGATACTCCTCTACTAATGGAAAGAATGCCCCTTTGGACCATGTAATGCCAAGGTGCCAGGGTGAGGCACTTCTGAATCATTTGATTTATTTTGCAAGTCTAGTTCAGTGACCAAACAGAATACCCTACATTATGTAAGGTCAGCATATGGTGATAGATGATGCCCAAAATTCTTTTCATATTAAATTCCTTAGATTTTTATGTGATATGAAGGTATTTAATCACAGTACAACACAGGCATGACATGTTTCAACATATTCCATGTAAGGTTTTATACTGCAAGGTGTGTTGTGACAGGCCTCATTATGTTAGAGATTTAAATCAATAGAGTTCAAAATTGTAAACAGAGTGGAAAACCCTCAGGACCTTTAAGGCCTTATGACTTCTGGGAGCTAAAAAAAAAAATATACATCTGCAATTATTAATTCATTTCAATTCAACAGAATCATGCCTGTATTTAAACTCTGCAAGCATTAAAACATTACTCCTATTAAGTTTTGATTGGAAACAAAAGGGTTAAATTGTCCAATCATGAGGATTTTTAATTTTTTTTATCCCTGCATGGACCTGTGATGATATAGCCAAGTGAGCTCTCCCATTGATTATGCCTTCATGAGCTAAACTTAAGGCCTAACGCATCAGATCAATCATAAGTACAATCATCTTCGCTGGAGTCACTATAAAACTACTACAAACAAGGTAAAATACATGCTAATATGTTAGGCTTAATTCATACTTGGAATGTCTTTTACAAGCTTTAAACATCCTTGTTTAATCTAGAATGGCCATTAGCTTAGTGCTAACATACCAACAGAATCCCATAGGGGTGGCAGCAGATATTAGCATTATCACAGGAGGGGGGTTTTCCTATTTTGACATTTATGGCCCAAACTGAGCCCTAATACTCATGGTTCACCGCTGCTAAACAGTATAATTATTAGAGGTGGGCGATACGGCAATATAGATATATATTACAATAATTATTTTTTCAGACATCTGATCAGTTGGAACTGAGAAAAAAAGAATCAGTAGTGCTAAATGTTTCAAAAATTCCATCAAACACTGCAAATACAATGATTTTTATTCAGTATTTGGCATACTGTGTTGCATTAAATCCAGTTAAACTAGACTAACTTTGCTCTCTTTATAATGAAACACGTCATTGGTCAGTGTTCTACAAGTACATTGCCCAGCCCAAATATTTAGCACAACAGTATTACTGCGAACTGAACAACAGACTGATATTTTTTCTCCGCATACTCCTCAGAATACATCATCATAGCTGTGGTGCTGAACATAGGTGCGCATACCTGCACGTTATTGAAATTTATATCGAGCATTCTGCAGGGCTCTGTGAGGGCGGTGAAGCCTCCAGGCAGGCGGCTCAGTCTCTCAGTAGTGTAGGGCTCTGCAGATTCATCTGCATCAACCGAACAGCTTACAGGACTGCGGATCTCTCGTACTGCTTCCAGATCCAATCCTCCAACTGCAGACACACACAGCCTGCAAGCACACACATAAACACTACTGCTCGGAACAAAGCTCTGTGCTTCTGTTTGACAACAGCAGAGGAAGTGCATAACAGTTAAATAATGAGACGCCAGGTCAAGCAATTAAAACTTCAAGTTTGAACTTTACAAGAATTATAATTACATCTATAAAACATCATTAGTTTATGCTTACAACTCTCACCTGTGGTGTCTGCGGATCTCTTGGCACTCAACAGCCATTCCAAATACAGTTGCTCCACCAGGAATGACTCGGCCCGTTTGGGATGGAGCAGACTGAGGCTCTTCGGGATTCTTTAGGGAGATTACACATGTCAGTCACCTTTAAAAAGAGAATTCCACCACTTTTTCAATCGAATTTGCTTAATTAAATCATTAAGATTGTTCAGAGTCTTTTGTGAACTTACTGAGTCAGAATTGTTCACAGTAGTGGTGATAGGAACCAGATGTCTGGAGTGTTTATTGCCTTTAAAAGCTACCTCACAAAAAGTAAATGACTAAGAATACGTTGACCGATGCCTGAGACATTAATGATAGATTTGAGATCAAGTTTTGTCCTGAGATGTATTTTTTTTTTTCTATTCATAACCGATTTATATTTATTTTACCATTATCAGCATCACATGTACAAACACCTAAGAATAGGTTCAGTGGTCATTTTGGATAGTGAATAAAATGGCAATATTTATGTTGTAGACATCACAACCCCTAGATACTATCACCACCACTGTAAGGAAATCCAAGTCAGTATGTTTTTTCCACTGAACCATATCACATCAAACCACTCTGAAGTACTTTGTTTACATCCCAAAGATTGAATAACGGAGACATTGGAAAATCTGTGGAATTCCCCTTTAACAACAGCTTCAGAGTCTGGTCTATTATTGTAAATATCACAGTTTACAATATATTGATCCTAAACTAAACTTTTGCTGCTTTCAAGTTGCCTTGGTTTTACTGCAAAATCAGTTTCCTGCCAGCAGCCACCAGATAAACACCCTTTGAAGTCAGACGGTGACATTAAACTGGAACTGAACTGGCCAAACTACGACAGCAACACTATTTCGTCATCATAGCCGAGGAAAGAAGTGAACTGTCCAATAATGGAAAACAATCAGGCAATGCTGAAGTAAATGTAAACTATGCACAGTTGACCCACGTGTGATTTCTGCTAGGTCTGTGTGCAAAAACAACCGTAAAAGAGGCTAAAACTGGTATCTGCTACAAAAACATACACGTCAGGTGAACAAACGACTCCTTCGAGAAAATTACTTGCCAATTTGCACCTGAATACAGCATTAGTACTGACAAATGTTGTTACCAAAGATAAGCACCAGATGGCACTGTTGGTTACATTTGAAATTCTGTGCTCAGTTTTTACTCATATGAACAAACTTATATATGGTCAAAACTGGAACCACAGTTGATCTTGAAAAGTTCAAAAGTTTGGAAACTAATTTCTTAAAAACTAGTTTCAGTTTGCAGGAACCTACAAGACATTTTCGATGATAAGCAGAGCTCTAAATGATTTCATGATGATTGAGAAATCTGTACAGCAATGAGAATGAACTTATAAAGAAACTGACACCCACAACATGTTTGAAATTCAATAATCAAATCTCCTTAATTAAACAGTAATTATAGCTTATTATTTAATAACTCTTTTATATTTTTTACTATGTCCTAACTATATGCTGTTCCCAAAAGACCTTAAACTGTGAATAAAGCACTGGTTTAAGTTTTGAAGTCTAGTTTATAACATTTTAATCTACACTGTACATGTTATTATTAAATAACACTTATTAAAATTATAAGTGATTCTAAACTTTTGAGTGGTCCAAGCTAGTATTCCACTGTGGAGACAGGTTGGCAAAGTGAAATAAATTTGAGTTCAAACAAAACCAGTGCAGGAATCTGCATTTTATTTATTTTTGAAGTCTAAGCACTGACTGAAACCAGAGGCTTTCATATTACCAGCATTGCTGTAATGGAACAAGATGACAAAACTTTACTGTCAAGACACATAACCTCACTGAGAGGAATTGCTTACGGGTGGCGGTAGGAGCAGGTGCTTCCAGGCATGAATCAAACTCTCGATGATCCCCTCCCCGAGCAGTCCAGCATCCACAGTTTCTGTCACAACCAGAGACACCCTTTCAAAGAGAAACATGACAAATTTCACAGTAAACAACCGCGCCCTCAAAGGATTTCACAGCATTTTCATAAAATGATTTAGATAAGATTAGAGAAATGTAGTAAGTACATTTTTTAAGTTACAAGTTTAAAAACAGTCACTCTTAAATAACTTTGTATACTTTTAAATAAGTTCACATTTTAATAAGCAAATACACTTTAACTTAGGTTATTTAAATTTTAAATAAGTGAGCGAGTAAGTACACTCTTAAGTAAATACAGTGCTGTGAAAAAGTATTTCCCCCCACTCGATTTCTTCTATTTTTGGTAATTTGCCACATTTAAATGTTTCAAATCATTCAACGGATATTAATACAAGATAAAACCTGCACAAGTAAACTTACACTGCAGCTTTTAAATGATCATTCTATTTATTGAAGATAAAGCACAATTAAAAAAACTTTATCACTCATGTTAAAAAGTAACTGCCCCCCTAAACCTAATACTTAGCTGCGCCACCCTGGGCAGTAACTGCAATCAAACATTTGCGAAGAGTCTTTTATATTGCTGTGGAGGAATGTTGGCCCACTCTTCTTAGCAGAATTATTTTAATTCGGCTAGATTAGAGGGTGAGTATGCCCGTTTAAGGTCGCGCCACAGCATCTCAATGGGATTCAAGTCAGGACTTTGACTCGGCCACTCCAAAACCCTAATTTTGTTTCTTTTGAGCCATTCAGTGGTGGACTTGCTTGTGTGTTTCGGACTGTTGATGTTCTTACTCTGGAATGCGGTATTAGCTTTAAGTCAGATGTAACGGGACCCATGTCTTCTAAAAGGTTCCATCTTTGACTCATCAGTTCACAGAATATTATATTAGGGGTCATCTAGATGCTTTTTTGGCAAATGCAGGACATGCCTTTGTGCTCTTTTTAGTCAGCAGTGGTTTGCATCTTGCAGCTCACCCATGGATGTCATTTTCACCCTGTGCCTTTCTTACTGTGGAATCGCATACATTGACCTTAACTGAAGCAAGTGAGGCCTGCAGTTCTTTAGATGTTCTCCTGAGTTCTTTTATGACCACCTGCAAGAATCATTGATGCGCTCTTAGTGAAATTTTGCTGGGCCGACAACTCTGTTCACCACTGTTCTAACTTTTCTCCATTTGTGGATGTGTGGTTCACTGGAGTCCCAGAGCCTTAGCAGTGGCTTTTTTTGCATCTGTATTTGAACATCTTTAGAACTTGGCATCATGTGCTGCTTTTTAAGACTGTCTAGCCTGCTTCACATTGCCAGACTGGTTCTATTTAATTGATGTTTAGATTCAACAGGTCTGGAAGTAATCATGCCTAGGTGTGACTGGTGAAGTTAAACCCAATAGTCAATTGAATTTGGTTAACCGGTTGATTTAGTAGCTAAGGAGGCAGTTACTTTTTCACATAGGGCCAGGTAGGGCTAAAAAAGCATTTTTCCTTCAATAAATGAAATCATCATCATTTAAAAATATCATTTTGTGTTTTCGTAGGTATCTTGGTCTGATATTAAAAGTAATTTGATGATCTGAAACATTAAAGTGTGACAAAATGCTAAAAAATAGGAATTGAGAAGGCACAAATACTTTTTCACAGCACTGAAAATAAGTAAGTACATACGCACACATTTAAATAAGCTTTTAAATAATTAAGTACACTCATAAGTAAGTGCACTTTTAAATGGTAAATAAGTACACTCTTAAAGAAATGAGTAAGTACACTTAAGTAAATAAATAAGTTTACTTAAATAAATATGTATATAGACTTTTAAATAAGTGAGAAATTAAGCACACTCCTAAGCAAGTATATTTTCAAATAAGTAAATCAGTACACTTTTAAGTAAGTAGCTTTTAAGTAATTAACTAACTAATTGGCAAATATGATTTCTATATAGATAATGAAGAGTCACCTGGTTGGAATATCTTTTGGAATTTCCATCTCCAGTGATTTCATGTGTAGAATCTTGATGCTATCTGCCATGCCGTTGGCTGAAACCACCTCACATGCCAGTTCATACATAGTCTTAGACAGCTCACAAGCGTAGACTTCCCTAGCTCCTGCTTTCTTTGCACACATCCTGAAAACACCCAGCACAGACAGAATACACATAAGCTGAATACGAACACCAAATATATTTCAGAAAAACAAAAATGAGAAAGAAAGCCCTCTCCAAAAACAATGCATTTCTAAGTGCATTACTGTCACTTATTTTACTGTATTATTAACTGTTGCACAGTTGTCTACTGATGTTTCATGTTAAGTGTAACACTGTGTTCTGGAGAAACTGTATTTTGTTCCTCTTTCAAAACATGGCTGTGATGAAAAGACAAAACAGTAAAAGTTTGAGCTGACTTCAGTCGATTTCTGTATCAGATCTTACCCAAGGATGCCTGTGCCTGTTCCTATGTCCAGAACTGTGCTACAGCCCTCCTGCACCGCCCGCTGAATGGCAAGCTGGTACTTGCGGTTTCGCCCATGGTCATTGAGCATTAAGAAATGCCAGCGCTCCACCAACCAGTTAGCCACACGATAGAAGTTCTCCTTTGCCTCAGGGAAATCTGGCCGCAGTTTGAGGGCTTTGTGGAAGTGTGCTGCAGCCTCGTCCCTGAAACCCATTCTGAAACATGAGAAACAGGAAATTACAAAAACACTTCCATGGTAGTTTTAAAGCAGATCAAGAATAATTTGTAGTAGGAGTAAAAGCAGGGGAATTCTGCAAAATTTTCACAATGTCTGCATAATTAAATGATTAAGATGTAAACGAAATCAGTCAGAGTGGTTTGATGTGAAGGGCTCCATTCAAGAGACACTTACTGAATCAGAATTGCTCTGAAAGGTGGTGATAATAACCAGACGTCCAAATGTTTAAATGCTTCTAAGAGTTATTACATGAAATATTTACAAATATGATACCTGATGCCTGAGGCATTTTAAGACAGTGAACTCAAATAGGTTTTTTAAAATACAAGATGGACAGGTCCACATTATAAGGCACAATAGTTCATAAAGATTTTTTTTTTTGCTACTTTACCATTATCAACATTACAAATAAAACCCAGAAGAAACATGTAAATCCACTACTTATTGTGTATAGTAAATAAAATGGCTATATTTGTGTTGCCGTTCCTATCGCCACCGTTGTAAAGAGGTCTGTTGGCAAGTTTTTCTATGATAAAGTCATTTTTTGACATTGAGCCCCTCTGAATGACTTGGCTTACATCTCAAAGTCTGAGTTACACAGATATTTTGATAAATTCCCCTGTAAAGTTAATAAATGAATAATAAACCTGTAGTTTAAAGGGTTAGCTTGGAATGTGAGTGATTGATGTGATGAATAAATTTACAAAAGGCAAATCAGGGCAACCATTTGAGTCAGGATGGCAAAAGACAAAACAGAGTAAACAGTACCTGAAGAGATGCTCTCCCATGCTGTTAACAATCACCTCATCAGCAGGAAACAACTCCAGAGCTTGTTCATAGCAGTCGAAGAGGTCCTGAATGCGTCCAAGACAGTCCAGCTCGTCAGCCCACTTGAAGAGAGTGAATCTGAAGGATTCCTGTTAAACCAAGCGGACACACATGCAGTACTGCTGCCTTGCTTTGAAGAAAACCACTGACACCAATGACCTCTTCAGTCTCTACTGAATAACTACAATACTCCACTTAGGAAGCATCATTGTGCCTGGGAAGAAAGAAGTATGGAGCAATGAAGTGAGAAGAAAACATTCTGCTTACTCTGGCAAAGTCCTTTAAGACCGGGGCCAGGTTCAGGACAAGAAGGTAGTGGACAAAAGCAGTGCCATAGTCTTGTTGGAGCAGGCATTGCTGGGCACTTTCAAGTGACCTTGAAATGAGCTCATTTCTAGCAGGATCTTCCCTTGGTTCCCTCGGGCCTCTCCTAGGACGCCTCGCCTTCTTTGACCTCGCCATTTCATTGGGCATTTTGAAAGAACTAAACAGCACATGGGGAAGTATGATGGGAATTAAGAAGCTAGAACATTTCCATTTTATACAACTTTCTCAAGCATTCCTGCAAGATTAAGTCTCAATTCTTACCAAGAAAAAATAACCTGTTCATTTAAGGGGAGTTATTTGCATCTGATGTAATGAATACCATGAAGGCCTCCAGAAATACTACACCATACTGTCTAGATAGCGTACTACATGAGACCTAACATGCTATTAATTTTTTTCCATATAATCAGTTAAACAGTAAGAGATTAAACCACTTGTGAAAGTAACTGTGAGTTATATATTGATGATGCTACTACTACTACTACTGAATCACAGACCTATTGCCGGTTTCCTTGATGTGGATTAAACCTAATTTCGGACTAAATTTCAGTGTCCATGCAGAAGTATATCCACAGAAATTTATTTTAGTTTAGACTTAGGCTTAATCTGGATCTGGGAAATCTTTTTATGTAATAATCCATACTACTGTAAAATGGAGTCCCTATGTCGAAGTCCCTGTCCCCTCAGCTGATCCCATCAGAGAGAGTTCCCTTTCCTGCAGGACATGGGTTGGGTGTGGTTTCTGTGTTCAAAGACAGACAAACAGGACACAGCAATTTACACACAAAATGTTACATTTTGGCAGTGATGGATCAATTAATACCCCACACTAAATATCTCCAAATCATAATGAGAACAATACAAAACATCTGATGCTACATGGTGTAGATGGATGGTATTGGATGCTACTGAATGTCGCTGATTGACCAAACCTGCCCATGTGAATTTAAACTTAATACTGCTCTGGGATCTCTCATGACTGCAGTGAAACATCAATATTAAACCATTACTGAAGCATGGGAAATTTAATGGACAAAAAATTACTTTAAAGTGGAATTGCCTTCAAAAATGAATGCCTGATGAAATTGTTGGGATTCAGAGTCATTCACAGTGGTGTGATGTAAAACGCTCTATTCTAGGGAAACTTACTGAGTCAGAGTTTTTCACAGTCGTGGTGATAGGAACCAGACATCTAAAAAGTTTAATGCCTCTGAAAACTCCCTCACAGAGAGTTCATACATGAAATGGTTAGATATATCCTGCCAGATATCTGAAATATTGTTTTATGATAGTTTGGGGATGACATTTTGGCTTAAAATGTAATTTGATCCATCAAGAATACGCTGCTTTATGCGCAAGGTACTGTTTTATAAGACAGTTCTGAGAGAAGGTTTTCAAATTTAATACTATTTTTTCATAATCAACATTACACAAAAAATGTAGGGGACACACGTAACACTGGTCATTTTGGACAGAAATTAAAATGGCTATATTTGCATTACAGACATCACAACACCTGGTTCTTCTCAGCACCATAGTAAAAAAATCTGACTCAGTAAGTTTCTCTTCACATCAAACCACTCTGAATGTTTTTTATTTTACATCTCAGCCATTAAATTATGCAGAAATTCTTAAAATCGGGCAAATCTACCTTTAAGGCTTTTATTACATGGCAGCGGCTTAATATGTCATTAAACGACTTTTGAGAAATTGAAAAAAAAAGAAAAACTATTCAGCGTCTTTAGTTAACGTTACCCACACAATAGCCTCTGTGCTAAAGCTAACAAGCACTGACACGCACTCAGTTTAACACCCGCAGTGTAAGAAATGCCTACATACCTCCCAGTCATATCACCATCATCACATAAGCATAAGTAAAACCAAATTCTATTACATTCAACATCAATTAAGTAACACTTTAGTGCACCTATGCATTAGCTTGTTCGGCTAACGTCGTAGCCAATAAGCCGCTGTTCACCCCATAAATAAAACCGGGAGGAAAACGGGACCAAAGCTGACCCATGGTTCCGCTTAAGATTAAACCACATGACGTCAGCACGCCACCACGAATCCCGCTTCAGTCTGACAGAGCGACTGTTTGGACGACACACTATCTTTATTTTATTTTATGTTATTTCTAAACGGCTTTTTTGTTTGTTCGTATGTCTCGAAAAATATATGTTTAAACCCAAGGACATGGTTTAGGTGTAGAAGTAGGTGTTTTCTGGAAATACTTTTATTCTCTTTCAACAGCTTTTCGTCCGTTGCTAAGTTCATCCACAGGACTTTGGGACTTAGAAAGCAGCTAACGGCCACGAACTGAACAAAAAAGAAGCTAATGCAGCTTTTTTAACGTCCGTTTTTGTTTTTAGCCCGTCTTCTTGCTTCTTGCCACAGGAAAAGTCACTGGCTCGTTAGTGACTAAACTGAAATTCGCAAAGCTCCATAAAAAAAATGGGACTGCACCCTTTGGAGTTCAGCGAGTGCTACCTGGACAGTCCGGGTTTCAGGGAGAAAATTAAAGCCCATGAAGCGGAGCTGGACAAAACCAACAGGTTTATTAAAGAGCTTTATAAAGATGGAAAGAACCTCATCAATGCGACGAAACGTAAGTTTTTAACGCTTCTTTTGGTAATTCATTGCATTCGTGTTGAAGTTAGAGAGTCTAGTGGTGGTTGAGCAGTAAAGCTGCATGTGTCCTAAATTCTGCACTCCTAAAAATGGATCATATGTCCAAAGTCGAGATATCTTCCCCGTCAAGGTCATGTAAACCTTTCATTTAAAAGGAAGGCGTTCATTTAGTTCATTTAACAGCAGGACACCAGAAGAAGAAGAAGGTCCTGCAACGTCAGTGTGTAGCCACTGCCTTAAAATGGTGTCCACATGATCTTTATCTCGAACTTTTGACCTGTAATCAGAGGTGGGTGGGTAGAGGAGCCTAAAATACCATATAAAACATAAGTATTTGTGGTACTTTTTCAATGAGACTCTGACTCAAGTGATAATAAAAGTAAAACTTGAATACAAAATATGTGATCAAAACAATAGGTTGCTACAGTACTACACACTTGGAAGAATATGGTTCTTGAAGCCTTCTTTAATAAAGGCAATGGTTCTATTTACAGGTCTTTGCATGGTGAAATAGTTCTTCAGATTGATGTAGAGTGTATTGTGTATGGTTCTATATAGAACATTTTTGAAAATGGATTCTATATAGCACCAAAAAGGTTTTGGTGTTATATAGAGCCATTTTCAAACAGGTTCTATGTAGAACTATATACAACACATTCAGCACCATCTGTTATGTACATGGAAATAGTGGTGCCTCACTACCTTTTGGTACATAAAGCTGTAATCAACATTGGAGCTGAAATTTGTTAGACTCTTTTGTTTTTGGTCTAAAATGAAATGTTAAAAGAAGACAGACTGACAGCAAAGCAGCCCAGGTAAATAGTCCAAGTAAATAAATTAGGCTATTATTTTGAAATGCTTCAAACAAGTACAGATCCATCATAATGTCAATTAAGTAAATAAAACAGAGCAAATAGTAAGTAGCTTCTACCCATGTGTGTCTGTAACTGTGCATGGCTGGAGGTTATTCACTATGGCACATGTGATCAAGTGTAAATACAGTTGAGATTAGTATTGCTGGTTTTGCAGTGCTTGATGGTGCGGATCCATCAGATTCTTGTCAACACATGCGCTTTAGTAAGTTATGAGCTCATAAGAGATTCACACATAAGGGTGATGTCGTTTCAAGTTGCTTCTTAAAGAGGAATTCTGTTGATTTATTTCAAAACTTCTTCATAATTAAATGTTCGGGTGTGGACAGTGTCCTTCAGAGTGGTTTGATGTGAAATGCTCCATTGTAGAGAAACGTCCCGAGTCAGAAATGTTCACAGTGGTTGTGATAGGAACCAGACTCCTGAAGACTTTAATTCTTCTAAAAGCCACGTCACAGACAATTTACACGAAATGTGCTGCCTCATACCTGAGACATTGATTTATACTAGTTTTATGATAAGGTTCTGGCCTGGAATGTATTTTTTTTTAAATAGTGGTGAGATATGTGCAGGGATTTCTAGAGCAAAATAGCACCTTTTAGGGCTTCTTTTATTTGTTTAACATTATTTTGCCATTACAATATCACATTATATAAATACTCAGAAGACATGTGCAGGTTAACTTTTGGATAGTAAATAAAACAGATATGTATTTCTGACTTTGTGTCTTCTGGTTCTTATCACCACCGCTGTAAGGAAATCTGAGTTGGTAAGTTTCTCTACAATCAACCATTTCAAATCAAACCACTCTAAATGACTTTTCACATCTCAACGATTGGATTATGTAGAAATTTTAGAAAAATAGCATTCCCTTTTAATGGTTTAGTTTGAATCCAAGGTCTTTAGCTCAAGCCAGTTCAGATCCTTCAGGTGTGTATCTATAGATAAGACAGTACATTGTTGAGTTGCTATCTTACGACCTTTTACATGTACTTACATGGTGTATTGCAGAGCAGAACTCACATTTCCTTGGGGGAAAATAGCAGCACAACAAATTGGCTAAAAATAAAATCTACGTGACTGTCACAGGCCTTGGGTTTGCAGGCCTTTTTGGGACTTGCCGGAATGCTCAAGAACTTTGGGAGGAATGTCTGAAGCTGCTTTATATGAAGATATGAGGGGCAGCCCATGTTTTGGTGGGGAAAATGCTCTGAAATCCTCTTCCTTTTAAGAAATGAACCTTTGACACGTATTTTATGGGCCTAAAAGTTATATTTTTCTGAGGAACAATAAAAGTGTGAGCCATCTTACGTAGTTTTTCTCTTGTTGCAAATATGAATGGTTTGAATCAGGGCTGGGTTGTGTGATCTAATATTATATTGCATTATTTTCAGATCAGCCTCTTGATAGTGTGTTGCCCTTACTGGTTTGAGAAATGACAGAACAGTAGCCTGACTTTCCAGTAGTTGGACCAGTACTGTATATATATGGCTGTCCGTCAGCCCTCGTTTAAAGCACTGTTGTCAACTTCATCATATAAACTTTCCCTGAAGTACCTGAAAGAAAGTGAATGAGGTTAGGTGTTGGGTTCGTCTGCTTTATTGATCTAATGAGATAATTCAGCTACTCTTTGCTCTTGTAAGAAATGACCTTTGCTAAGGCAGTAAAGTACTTATCCCTGTAGTTCCCTCCCTCTTTGTCAGGGAGAAAAACACTGAGGACAGAAAACAAAGATGACCAAGATGATTCATTTGCCAAAAAAAGTTTTAAGACTTCCTGAAAAAGTGACTTTATAAGAGAAGGAAAACATTCTTAACTTGAATCTTTTTTCATCTTCTCTTTTATTTTTTCACACTGAGGTCCATTTATGATTTTTGTGTAGTTTTATGTGCCAAAAAAACTTTTTTTTACCTGACCAGCTCCTGACCTCTTTTTAACCCTTAGGATTAAGCAAGCTGTACCCTTAAGACTGATATATGTAGGCAAAATGACCTCTGTTTCTGACTGGCTGACGAGTACTGTGCCTTATTCAAGCCCAGCCTGAATCATTCCCTGTCACTTCAACTTGAAAGGGCGGGCTAAATTGCTGCAAGCTAAAGAGTCAGATATATCATCGTTTTCCAAAGAAAAACAAGTATATCCAAAATGATAACCTTATAGGAGAGGGCAAAAATGTTCATTACTGTCAATGCAAATTAATGTAAAGAGATTTTATTTGAAGCAGTTTTGGAGCATTTCTATTGGTCCAGCCATTGTGAAATCATCAGCTGCTGAACTCAAATTATTTCCACGGTGGCAATATGTAAATGTGTTGTTTTTTATGACATCATAAAAATAAAGAATTCATGAGCCATTTTGCAACTTAACTTCCATATATGGACCATATGGACTGGGGTGTCCATATGGTCCATATATGAAACATTTCATTTACAGTGTTTACATACTACATTAAACTCACTTGTTTCAAAAATGAGATTTTCCACAACATGGGCCTTTTATTGTATAATAATGTAACATAAAAGTGTGCTTAAAGTAACAGACTGCTGTAGCCACTTCAGAATATACTGAATCGCTTGTTTTTTGCCCATGACGGCTTGTTTTTCCTGTTTGTCTTGTATGGGTCCCTTATTTATACAGAGCTAAGCTGTAAATCTGCAAAATATCAAGAGCATGCGCTGTACTGTCTGACAACTGATGTGGCTGTAAAGGAGGAATAACGTTTTGTTTGTAACTGCCGTGAAAGCTTCTGTGTTTTATCCATTGTGATCTGTTGGCCTTAGTGACTTGTTTAGTTTAGCTGTGTTTAAAGTGAACTGTAATGTTGTTTGGACATTGCATCGACTCTGGCATGGCACAAAAGTTAAACAAATGCTTGCTCACAAAGTAGGCAGTGTTTTCCATGGGCATGAATACTAATACATGCTATTGATTTTTATATCTTCTGTTAGCTTGACCGGGCCTACTTGGGCCTGATTCCAGCAGCAGTTTGGCTTGTTGAATATTGCATTGATTCACCCGCAGGATTTGGATTTAACTTCATGCGTCCAAATCTTCATTTGTTTAGTTTTGTTCTGCAGATTCTGCCATGTTAATGTTGTGATCTAGGGCTGTGCTCAACAGTAATAAATAATGGATAATGGGAAAAAAAGTTATGTTCTTAATGAATTGGTCATTATTAATGGGCAGTTTGCATGATTCTAGTACACATTTTAAATTCTACTGTCTTTTACAGTAAGAAAAAGAGTCTGATGGACTGTTTCTGCAACTACAGGCACTTTTGAGTGTCATAATGTTTAAGAAATGGACCTTAACAAAGGTTTTTTCAATTTCTGGCAAATTCAGTGATTGAGATGTAAACAAAGCTATTCTGAGTGTTTTAATGTAAAGTGGTTAATTGTAGATTAGACATACTAAGCAACTTTATTTTATTTTTTTATTTATTTATTTATTTTCTTTTTTTACAGTGGTGGTGATAGGAACCAGGGGTCCTGATGTCTACAACACAAATATGGCCATTTTATTTACTAACCAAAGCCACAAGTGAACCTTTTGAGTTTTTATATTTAATGTTTGTAATGACTAAATGGTGGTAAATCTAAGAAAAAGAATGTTTGAATGCTTTATGTGAGGGAGCTTTTTGAGGTGGACTTCTGGTTCCTATCATCACTGTAGACAATTTTGACTCAGTAAGTTTCTCTAGAATGAAGCATTTCACATGAAACTACTCTAAACGTCTCTGGTTACATCCTAACTGTTTGAATCTGTGATACAAATAATGAGCTATATAAATTGTATGTAACTTTTTAAAAATTTATTTTGAATTGGATTTGTCTTTACATTGATGTTAGGTCTTTACTGCAAGACATTTAGCTAGGAGTGCCCAAACTTTTTTGTTCTGGGGGCCAAAGTGCAATGTGATGGGCAGAGGGCCAAAAAGACTGAACAGTATACAAATAAAGAAGATAAGTAGGCTTTAAATCAAGTTTAATTGCTGTTACTAAAATACTTAAAACATACAAATTTGAAAGGAAATTATCAATGAAGTTCTATCTAGTAAAAATATGTTTGTTCTCTCACTGGGTGTGTGGTTGGGGTTGCGGTAACT